ATTCTATCTTCTCTCATTTTCATTCGATCTTCTACAATTTTAATTCGATCTTTCATGCGTTCCTGCACTGATTTCTCGACTTCTTTTATTTTTTCGTCCATTGTTTCCATCCATGCGTCCATTTTTCCCATTCTTGCCCTAATTTTCTCTTTCATTTCCGCAAGCATCGCCGCCATCTGTTTTAGTTGTTCTTCCAACATCGCTGCAGTTGAGTTCTCGTCTCGACCGGCATAAATTCTTCTAAATTCTTGTTCGATCTCCCCAGACGTCGTCGTAAAACCGGTTATTAATCTTCAAATCTAGTAGGTAAAACGCAACGATTTATTTCTTAATAACTGGTATTTACACGACGAACTATTGCAACGATTATGTACAGAAATTATTCCGGCGAATTCCACTGGACGCTCTTGGCTGACTTCACTTGCTGAATGAATCCGTCCCCGACGGTCGCCTCTCGATGGATCCAGAACGCCGCATCGGAGTTTTCTGGGCGCCGCAATCGAGACTTCTTCTCGGCTCGTCGCGACTTCCGCTTGCATTCGCGCGGCCGGTGAGTCAGACTACATACGAGAAGCAACGCGCAGATGCTAGAAGACGCATAGGCGTCGTACCGGGGGGCTTATGGGCTTATTTCGTAACAGTATGTTATGTATATTATAACGAATTTACATCAAAAGAATTTTTAGATACTTCGGGTGTATCACAAGGTTCTCACTTGGGTCCTTTATTATTTATACTTTTTATTAATGATCTTCTCTCTTCACTCTCCTGTCCTGTTCTAGTGTATGCTGATGATATCAAATTGTATTTGTCAACCAGATCCACTGATGATGTTACTATTATGAAAAAGATTGGATTTACAGATACAAATTAATTCTTAATTATGAAAAATGTTTTTTTTGCTACTTGCACTAGGATAACTTTTGATTTAATGGACACTTATTATTCAATTGACGACTATTTAATTGTTTTTCATTTCTCGGCAAAGTTTAAATTAAATCTTAAACTAACCATTAATTAAAAAGAAGTATGTAATGAAGGATCTTGAAGTTATTTTTGTTTCACTTTTTACTGATGTTAACATAATGGAACAACTTTTCTTTGCATATGTTTTAAGTAAACTAGAATACGCTATTTTGGTTTGGGTTCCATTATACCCATCACATGCATTAAAACTGGACAAAATTCAAAGGCGTTTTATGAAATATCTATCCTATAGACTTGATGGTATTTATTCGGAAGTGGTATATGATTTCTACGGCAGCTCGAAAAATACACCGTTGTGTACACTGCACAATTTGCCTCTAAACTTGTAGACGATCAAGTTGATAGCCCATTTCTTTTAGCTACAATGCGTTTTAATGTGCCCACAATTTCATCAAGATTTGTTGCTAGTTTTCAGCTTCCTGTAACAAGAACTAACGTTTTGCGACGATCCCTTATTTACGTAATATTATGTAAGGCCGCAGATACAAAAATTGAAAATATTTTTTATTTATGAAGAAATTTTATATTTATATTTTGTATCTTGATATTAGTGTTAATTTTGTTTTCTTACATATTTTTAGGTTTTTCCTGTAATTCCCTGTTGTACAAATAAAGGTATTATTATTATTAATATTATATCCAGCACTTTCGATTTTAGTTTTACCTTTACGCGATTTTGTGATGACGAGTTCGACATTTTTGCAAGGACATGTGTATCAACTTGAACTGGTGTCATGTAATACGAATAATAACATTAATGTATTCTCAAATTTTCGGAAAAATGAAGTGAACCCTTACGGATTTATTCAATAAAATTAACTGACAGATTCATGAATTTTTTTGAATCATTTGTAAAAGTATGAATGCACTGATAAATCACAAATAAAAAAACTCATCATATTTTGTACATTTTGAGTAGGAGTTATATGGAAAAATTTTTAGATGACGTCAACAGTTTTTTGGGAGGAATAAACAGATGTAATTTGAGTAATAAATTTACCAGGGTAGAGGGTTTACATTTACAATTTACATTTGTTACCATATCTTTAAAACGTTAACAAGATTTGAAAGCATTCGGTTTTGCAGTTCCTCATTTATGTAATAAAATAAATTGACTCATTCATTAATTTTTTTTGAGTTATCCTGTAAAACTAAATCTAAAAATTATTAATGCAATGATAACTTATAAGTGCAGGTCTTGATAAATTGCACGTGTATGAGTATGTTATTTTATTCAATTAAAAACCCACTTACCGCGAACAATTTTGAGATGAGGTTATCACGCTTTTAGTGGGGATGATTAGATATAGTTTAGTTAGCGTTTTACCATCTACAACTATCGGTCCGTTAGTTTTGGAGATTATCTGTCTTACAAAAATCCACATGGACGGCGAACATACAAACAGACGGAAACCGAAGACCTATTTTTTCGTACTCGAATGTTCATGACCCATCGAAAAAATATGAAAGTAAACTCTAGCCCGCCGGACCCGATTACAATACTTTATTAGCTTATGGTGTCATTTTATCATTAATTCCACATATACCTGAAGTTTCTTTCATGAGAAATTGTAGTTTTAGGGGTTTAAATATTTAAACCCACAGATAAATGATTGGTAAATACTAGAGCTGTGCGGTTGAAATTTATTTACCCCCACTATCGGCCCACAGTGCCGATCGCTACACAGCCTTACCTTGCTCGCTTCTCGCTTTTCAGTTGTGGATTATTTTTGATAATTCACACAAATAGTTTTATTGTCAGCGAGACGGACATCTGAACATTATTAAAATTATGATTACTCTTATTTCGTGAATATGGATTTTAAAATCATCAACTGACATGCCGTTAACATTATTTTTCGCGTAATTTTCTTCGCGATACATAACGTCGGTTGCAAGCCTCTGGCCTGCCGGAGTGGGGGTCAATTCGCAGCGTTTAAATTTCAACCGCACAGCTCTAGTAATTACGCTAGCTTTTTGGATTAGAGAACAATAATAGCAGATGGATTTGTATGCTGTAGTTCTACTATCTAAAAGTTTTTTATTAATCTAATTAGTGCAATGGTAGAAGTCTTGTCAGTGGTGGGTCTTAATATCACATTGTTTGGTAGATTAATGACGTAATCGCAAAATACAGTGAAGTAAATGTGGTTTTAAAACGCACCACGAGATGGGGTATTTCTTGCGCTTCAGACACGAAGGAAATAACTTTACAGATTGTTATTAGTAGGGAAGGTAACTCAGACGGCATTTGTTTTTTAATCCAAATCTAAAAATCTTTAATACGTGCTGTTGACAGTTGAGCCCACTTGTACTCGCAACTGCGGAGGGCGCCACTTGATTCAGCTCAAATCTTGGTTTTGGATGTTTAGACAAAAAAAAAACTGTACAGAGGTCTGCGCCTGATTTTATTATCTGCTCATAGATTCTTATTGTCGTAGGATTAAACCAAGTGTCAGTAGAGGAATTTCTTTATGATAATTTTAAAAATTTACAAAAACATCACTTGAAAACTTAATACGAAATTATTTACAACATTATGTCAAAGACTATGACACTTTTTGTTCTTTACAGGGTGAGTATTGTAATAACTGTTTCTGAAAAATGTTAATCAAAATTTCACAAAAGAAATAGTAAGAAAACACCAACATATTAATTTAAGGAAATGTAATAAATAAATTAAACAATTAAATAAATTTAGCTAGCGTAGGTACTGTTCAAAATGCCTTCCTTACTGCACAAACACACATTTTGATGTGATTTAAGCAAGACAACCGGACGCGGGCAAGTGTTTCAGAAGTTATTGCAGCACATGCATTTCTAATAATTCTAGTTTTTAAATCTTCACAGTTACGAGTAGGACTCTGGTAAACTTGTTCTTTCACAACCCCCCCAGAGGAAGAAATTTAAAGGTGTTAAGTCGAGACTACGAGGGGGTCATGCATGCACACTGCCTCTGCCAATCCACTTATTTGCAATCGTCTCATCAAGATAGTCCCTAACGACTCTGTGATAATGAGGTGGTGCCCCGTCCTGCTAAAACCACAGCTCTTGTCGGAGGTTGAGAGGAACATTTTCTAATAACCCCGGAAAATCATTTTCCAAAAATTGTCGATACCTGTGTCCTGTTAAGTTGTCTTCGAAGAAGTATGGGCCAATTACGTAATCTGCAATAATACCAGCCCACACATTTATGGAATAAAGATTTTGAAAATGAGCTGTTCTGATCCAGTGTGGGTTATTTTGGGAGTAATAGTGGCCGTTGTGCCGATTAACAACCCCGTTATTGCCAAATCTTCCTTCATCGCTGAATAAAACTTTGAATGAAAAATTGTTGTCCAACTCTAGTTGATGTTGCATAAGATGGCAAAATTGTATTCTTCTGGGAAAACCTTCTTCTTTTAGATCTTGTACTAATGTCACATGGTAAGGGTGGAACTTATTCGCTCTCCAAATTTTTGAAACGGAAGATTGAGATATTCCTACCTCTGAATTTCTTGTGGATTTTACTGTAGTAGAGCCTGTAAGTGAATTGTAGTGTAAAATACTATCCCAAATTTTCCTTGCTTCGTATCCGTTTCATTGTGGATCATACATACTATACTATAACATCGTATTGCCCAAAATTCTTCGAGATGATGAAGGAATAGGCCTAAGGTCTTCTAAAAATATCTAGACCGGCGTTTACAGAAGTTCAATTAAATATTTGACAGCGATTAAATTTTTAACACGCCGTTAATGTATCATGTGACTGACGCTACGCCAGTCAGACGTCGCTGAACTTCGTTAAATGCGTGATTAACTTAATCTCAGTTCAAATGTTGTATAAACGCGCCCTTAGAGTCTAAAATAATTAAGAAATCTTTTAACTAGACTACTTAAACATTTTCGATTGTTACGAAATATTTCTGGTATCTTAAGATATTAATATTTTTATCGCTTTATCTTGTTATCTACGGAAAGTTCTAATTCAATAAACAGTGTGTTACACCAGTAATAGAACTCATATTTGCGAAAAGTGTTCAATAAGTTATTAACCGAAGGCAAGTAGTAGGTGAAACTATTTTTAATCTAAGTGTGAAATACAAGTAGTAAGTATTAAATGGAATTTTTAGAAGTAAATTTATTATTATTAACTCAGCTTAGATTAATATCGATATTGCGACTGCTTTCAGCGTTAATAGAGTGAAACTTTAGTGCTTCTCTCTTTACTTCGAGTAATACTTATAAAAGCTAAAGCAATCCGAACGAAACCAAATTATTATTTTCCACCAGAGTTTTCCTTGATATGCCCTATTTCACAATTCAATTGTTTTTTAAAAAATAATGTTAACTGAAACTAGATTAAAGAGTTCAGTTGTTATTCCAGACGGCTAGTTTCTACTTTAGTAATTATTATTGATCAAAACAAAAATTAAATGGTACTTCCTCCTCTTCAAGATTAAAATAATGCGTGTAGCGTTAAAGTGAAGATTAAATCAAGAGAATAAATTTTGATTAAACAGTACCATGTTTACGATAACTTTATAAACATTTTAAGGTTGTCGTAAAATCGGAATTAAAAAAATTTGAAACGTAAAACATTAACTGATATGTATAAACAAAGTCGCCCTTTCGTCTTTGTCATCGTAGTTTCTCTTCTCCCAGGTCTCGCATGCAGCCGGAAAACAAAATGTCATAAACCTTTTTTCATTCAAGTATTAAACTTGTTATAACTCCATTTTGAACATTTTCATTTATAGAGAATGACATACAAGTGTGTGATTATTGTCTTCAAAATTGACCTAAATTTATTTTGAAGAGTATGTTTGCGACCGTGTGTACATTAATTACTGTCTAATTTCTTACTTAAAACTATTCCAGGAAAAATGCGTGTTATCACCGATTCAAAATTTGTATTAATCGCTAACGCTTTCAATATATTTTCAGAACGTAATATCTCCACTATTAACATACTTATTGTTATGAAATTTTGAATATAACATATCCACACCTTTCAGTATATAACGCAAAGTTTTTTTAAATACAGTTTATGATCTTCTTTTTAGCATTTTGGAAAAATTTTTCATCAGATATATTTAAAAATCAATATCTCTGTTATTCGAAACACAGTTTTCACCACTGTTTTCAGCTTACAGAACTCTGTATGTTGCCCGGTTAACAATGCCTTTTTTTTGTCGGAAATGATATACACTGAAAAGAAATTTGTGTCGAAGAACCTGCTTTTACCGTATTTCATTTTCAACAAAAGAAATCGACAATGTTTGCAACGTAACATATAGAGCTTTGTAAGCTGAAAACAGTGGTGAGAACCGCGTTTCGAAATTTCCATAAATAATTGAGACATTTAATTTTAAATATACTTGACGAAAAACTTCACCAAAATAAAAAAAAAATGATGGTAAACTGTTTCTAAAAAACACTACCACTGTGCTCTGTAGAGTAAATTGTGGACAATTTAGATTTAAAACTTCCTAGCAATAAGTCTGTTAATAATGGAGATATTACATTTTGAAAATGTATTGAACACTCTGCAGGTGAAAACTCGCCTTAAGACGTCATTAATGTGGAGAAACTAATGACAGTCGATTTGTAAAATATATAATGAGGTTTTCATCCAACACAAAATTAATGGCGTTGCATTGCAAATAGAATATAACAGTTATAATCTTCCCGTGATAGTCGAGGGAGGCCACCAAGGCAGTATATTGACATTATTGTCTGCTAGAAAATTCTTTGATACACGGGGAATATGTGGTCGAGTGTTATCTTGTTGAAAAATACCATCTTGTACTTCTTTAAGATACCGTAACAACCGAGGCTCTAGCCCGTGGTCAATGAAACAACGGGCAATTAAAGTTCCCTGGATGAACACTAGAAGTGACCGCCTTCCAGTACATATTGCACCCCATGTAAACATTCCTGGTGTTATTCTTGTATGGCACCTATGAATGAAAACAGATTGCTTCGATCCCAACTCTGCCTTCTTACACGCATTGTAAGTTTATATGGCAACAGTAAATATAATACCTGCTCCTTTGTGTGAGATTCAACAACTTATTTCACTGAGAAGAAACCTCAATGGTTATAGAAAATTTTATTGTATACAAATGGAAAGATTTTACAGTGCTTGGAAGTTTTATTATAAAAAGAAATTAAAGTATAGGTATACTGTAACCTCACTTGAAATACACCTTGTAAAATTTTATGACTTAAGCGGCTTAAACCAAACCACCCTTATAAGTCAAGTCAGTCAGTTCACAGCTCATTATGGCAACAATAGACAGTAATAATCCTTGCGGTTCGGGTTCATAAAGCTTACAATAGCCAGTTTGACTTATAAGGGTACTTTGGTTTAAGCCGCTTAAGTCATAAAATTTTACAAGGTGTATGTCAAGTGAGGTTACAGTACGTACTCAATTACATCGTACTTTTCTGTGCAAATCGAATGTTTTGTTGTGTTAAAAGTAGCGGATAAGAACATTTGCACAAATCTGAAGCCGGATTTGTTATTTTGTTATTTTTGAACCCGTGCAGATGTTTTATGTCGGTAAGGGACGCCTCCATAAAGCAACCCATTACCTATATAATTTGACTGAATTCTATCTGATGATTTTAATAGAGTTAATTCTACTTTAGAATCGTAGGTAATCTTGTTTATAAGCACCCAAATGCGGGCGTAAGTTGGCCTTCATCGCACAAACCTGTCAAAAATTGCTAAGCAACAATTGATTGTTCATTTACACATCAATTAATTATTCAACCAAGCTTAGATATTCAACTTTTTTTTTAAGTTGGAAAAATAATATTTTACTTCCTCTTGTCTTGTTTAAAGCTCGTTTACTGTCGTCTGAACTAACTCGGTAAATTAGCCTTTACACGCACCCTGCCTGTAAAGCGTTACCGTGGCAGCTTTACAGGCACCGTGCCTGTAAAACGTTACCATGAGAGCACCGGAATCAAACACACATTCGCTGCGTCGGCCTTTTTCTTAATCTCACTAATACTGTGCTAATACTAACGTTAAAATCACCTTCAAACTCTTCAAATTCATGGATTTCCACAATTAACAGAGCTCAGAAACAAAATTAAACTATTTAAATTATTAATCGAATTTACAAATTGACAGTCCCGTTATTTTCAAACAATTCAATTTTCCATAGTTACCGGAGCAAACTATGAAAAATGACTATAATTTCTATGACTGTAATTTCAAGTAAAATTTCTAGAGATGCCAAAGTTGTTCATTTTCAGGATGTTCAGCAAGAGGAAGTAAAACGTTGTACGCGGCTCGCTTGCAACTAGCCTCTACTGGGGCTCACCGGATTACAGAGCTCGCTCCTACGTCGCTCGCCCTGCAAACATTCCGGCTCGCCCGTAAAAGCTAATTTACTAAGCTTGCCACGTAAATAACTATTATCAAATCATTACCTGACCGACTTCAAATTCTTCTAAACTTTCTTTTGAATAAACTTTTTCCGCTTCTTTAATTTGCATTTTGAAAAACAAATTATCAAATAATCAACGTGGTATCCATAACAACATCAAAATAATAGCCAGCTATGTATTAAAGTTCGCATCGGCACAATTCACACAGCTTGCGGAAAATACTCAATATTTCGTTAAAAATAGTTTAGAAACTAAAATAGAATAAAACGTATGTACCACGTGCATAATTGTCGATTCGGGGAATTAAAAACCCTCCTTCGTCGGGCTTTAAACATTCCCTCGTGCCACAATCTCCTTGATTATGCCCTTAATACATAAATAACTATTTTGGTGTTGAAAAAGGGAAAAATATTTAAAAAATTCTATAATATAGTTTTTTTCACAATTTGTATATAGGTACATGTTAGGCGTGTTAGCCGTTGATCCCTTACAATAAGTAGTAAAGATTTTTTTTTTCAACTGTATAACAACCGTCATCATTTTTTTAGGCACGATGATGCAAGAAGTTGATACAATCTGTTTTAAAGAAACCCTTTAGTTCGGTAGTTACAACCCCGGGTTGTGTTTGTAGAATTAATTTTTTAACAACTTCATTCGTTCAATTTACTCTTTTTGTTATATTTAGTATTTTGTAGTCTGTTTTCATTAGATTTAAGCATATTTTAGAATAATCTAGTTTTTCAGTCACCAATAAATAATCTATTTATTTAAAGAATTGTTCAAGTTTGAAAAATGGAAATCATCTCTCAAAAATACGTAAGAATCAGCTATTAAATTGAAAGCAGTTTTTCAAAGAACTGTATTGCTGCCATATAACCTTAGAAAATATGCTTTACTATATCTATACGTATACCGACATAGCACACAGTCACAGTATCATGACCAAGAGATTTATGTGTGAGTAATTTGGTTTTGGGAAGTTTTTTTTTAAGAAATTATATGAAGTTATTTTATTTATTAAATTTAATAACCTATATTTGTTTTACAGTTTAAAATCAAAGTTATGGGTAACACTTTGTGTAACTGTTTTGAAGCACTATTTCGACGTAAAAACACGTCTACCGAATACAATGCTTATACTATAGAAAATACTCTAAAGCAACTTATTAATAAATTGCTTAAAGAGCAAGACGTTCACCAGATTGTAAAGGATAATATTCTAAAAGTATTACACATTTATGGAATTGAGACTGAAAAATTAAAGAAACAAGAAAAAAATCAGATAAGACTATTACTGAACTCAGCATATAAGGAATTTGCACGTTTGGAAGTAAAAAATATCCATTTGCGACAAACAGGTAGGTAAAAAAAAACAATGTATTAAAAAATATAAGTCCTAAATGTCATAACATACCTACGTGTTTGAACACGTTTAGTTTTTAATTTTGTGTGGTATAGTATATTATTATACAAGTTGCATAAGACGCTCTATTGGCGCACGAGTATTTTGAAGCACGACGAGCGAAGCGAGTGCGACGATGCGTCTTATGAAGCGAGTATAATACACTATTTTTTATACTTTGCGCGTTATTTAATCAAAAATTTGGTAAAATAAAAAAAAAAGAGATTTAGGGATTTTTTGTCTACATTATTACGGGTGGTCACAATACGTTGTTTATTTTCAAACATTTGAACAACGAAATTTAATTTTGCGAATAATTCTTTAAACAAGGGTTATGGAAAGCGAGGGAAATTGTACCCCGTCCGAATTTCGCGACATTGCCGAGGATACAGTTACAAAACTATTGCTCAAGAAGCCTAAGGACTTGTATACAAAAGAATTTGAGCACCTTGAACGGTGGTGTAGTGAGAATAATGTGAAAATTGTAGTAGAAAATATTCTCATTGCATCCGAGCACAAGGCATAAGCGCCAGTAGGGGAACGAGGGGCTTGTTGTAACAGTTTTTAGGAAAACGAATATAATTTGGTATCTATTAGCTGTTTGACCATTATAAAAGTATCTATCGGTAGTCTAACTATTCCCCTATTGGACTGAACACGCAAAAAGTCAAAATTGTTCATCTTCACTTCACACCAGGCATTTTCTTAAAAAAAGTGCATTGTTACAACTTGCCCCGTGGTTGGGGCTAGTTGTAACAGCCATGAGACAGGTAGTACCAGTAAAAATAAAGCTGATGTTGATACATATTTAGACTTTATTTTTCAAAAATCAACACAACACTTCATTATATACAATTTTTTTTCAGTAAAACTGAAATAAACTTTTAGAAAAAGAGTTAACATTAAAAATTTGAGTGTTGTCTTCCTTTTTCTTAATATATCTGGAAAGCGATATATGGCATAGCTCAAAATTTTGGCTCGCTTTTCGTATGCTAGGTACGAGATTTGTGGAAGTGAATTTGGGATAAGTTGTAACATGTTACAACTTGCCCCAAAGCTATTGTTGCAACATGCCCCGTAGCACAATTTTCTACATTTAATTACATTTCGACACAATTATGTGGCTTAGCGTCAAAATGTGTAAGGAATATCAAAGCTGAGTAATTTTTGAGCTACATGCAAAACTAAAACTTTTAAATTAATTAATAACTGATACGAAAAACCAAATTTTACTAAAGCAATATTTTACATTACTTGGCCAAAACGAAACACGTGCACACATCCACTTACTGCGCTGGCTCAAGGAACAGTGGTTGTGATGACATGATGTCTTATGGTGCAAGAATTAAATTCAGTAAAATACCTGACGTTAAAGAGTTTAAATTGTGGATAAAAATTTAGTGTTACAACTTACCCCTGTTACAACAAGCCCCTAGTTCCCCTACATCAGAGATAGACACGCAGTCCAACAAAACTTTGTTCCCGGTCAAATTTCCCAGATATCACCATTACCGCTCAGGATTCTTAATGTTACCATTAATGTTTGCAATGATTCCAAGGATCTGGGCACACATTGAACAATTAAAAAGGTTTTGACAGTTATGAGGTTAGGTAGTTTTGTTTTGACATTTAACCAGCGTCGCGGGTACCACCAACCTAGTAAAATAAAAAATCACGTTTCATAATGAGATCAGTTTCGATACGCAAATGGGTTTCGTAAAGAGTTCCTTAGCGACGCAAAGTAGAAAAAGTAGTTTTTTGATAAAAATGCATTTTTGAATATGGAATTGTACATCTGTACTATAGTTATATCGGGTGATTAATACTGATTGCAAGCGAGTCATCCTTGACTTTTAATCTGGAGAGCATTTAATTCTGTATTTTCACGATGTTCACAAACAAAATTATGTCGCAAATGTTTCTGTTCTGGATATTAATTAATTTCAAGCTAATGTCAGGTTTGAAAAATCGATAATATAAAGTCCATTTTTTGTAAATGTGTGAAACCTTGAAATAACACGTAGGTACTGTTATGTGCTTATTTTCTGTAGGAGCACAGGGTCGGCGGCAAGGTGGCATTGGCAGAGAAACAACCCCAGATACTAACTAAGTCTATTGCTAACACACTAAGAAGTTCGTTACAAACAAAAAAAACAACAAATATTAATAACAATACATTACTACTGACCCCCAATCCCTATCCTTAACCTATACCTCCCTTCACAGTCCACGGCGCCGGACCCTCTGGTGTATTGGGAGAAGCGAGGAGAGGCAGACTATTTGATTCTTAGCCGTCTGGGGACGTTGCTCTTCGATTCCAGTACTAACAGCAAACGGGGCAATAGAGAGCCTCGACCCCCCTTCACAGTCCACGGCGACGGACCCTCTGGTGCATTGGCGTATTGGGAAAAGCGAGGAGAGGCAGACCCTCTGATTCTTAGCCGTCTGGCGACTTGGCAACAGCTGTGTGGCTATAATTTCAACGTGTTGGTAACCTCCAACTTTAGTAACTGTATTGTGGCGGTAACTCGTATGTGGCCAGTTCACGTTCTTCTCCTCTTCACCCACACCCACATCTCAGCCGATGGCAACGGAATTCCTTTATTTCACCGCAGTTACGTTTTGGCACGACCCTTTTTTTTCAACGCCTCCCCAAAAAGAATGGCCGAATCCCGCAATCCCCGTGTCAACTGTCAATCCCCACTCCCAAACCGTGACCTCCCTGCGCGTCGTGCGTACCAGCGGCGTCCCACAATTCAGTGGCGTAACATTCGATTTTTTAAAACATAACAGTACCTAATTTTTGAAATTTTTATTAAGATGTTGCAATAAATGTTAAAAATGTAGGCCATTTTGTTACGAGCACATTTGAGTTCGTCGTCTAAATGCATGAATAGTATTTTGTAGCATATACCAAAGGACTTTGTCTTGGTTTCGTAATTTTTGCAGTAGCCCTTCGCTTTAATTCGTTTACGTTTCAGTAGGGGTATGGCAACTACCTCAAAAAAAGTTGCTCTATTGTAGGCGTCATCTAATTCCTGTCCAAACTTTCTCTGCATACAAAAGTGGTTCTCGATAAACATGTGGTTTTTCCGTGTTCTAAATCCACATTATTTTATGAATTAAGAAATCCTAAAACTATACTTCGTCAGTAAAAATGTTTTTTCTAATAATTCCTTTTCAACGATCGTTGATAACTTACAGCCTTTAGCAAAAACACACCTTCTAGTAACTGGTGGAAACATGTGAATCTATACGATAGAGGTCTAAATAATTTCTAAATATTGCTGAACAAGTTCCATTGCCGCATCAAATGTCTTACATATGTTGGAAGGACCCCTTTCATAACCAATATTACATTTTCAATGTTTTTTGGATTTCTGCCTACCCAAGGAGGTTTAAATGTATAGAGAGAGTATGCCGTGTATCTTCCATATATCAAAGTGTGACCAACATCTCCCGGGTGAAAGGAGTGAGGCGCGAGAGGTTTACTGTACTGCAGTACAGTGGCTGACGAATTTCAATTTCGTACAATTTCAAGAAAAATAAAAAATATTGGTTTTTAAACAAAATCTGTGGTTAATACACTTCCCACACGTTGGCGTATCTGGTCTTTGCAAACATCCATTAAAATCTAGAACAATGACAAATGTGTTAAAAGCAGAGACTTTAAATATCTAAAGTCTCTGGTTAAAAGTAATAGACAACAGTAAAATCTGTTAAAATTGTGTTATTTTGGTACCAATTCTCCTAGTTAAAGTCATCTAGTGATTTTACTCTCTGTATGTTTTAATAGCGCCATCTGTCATTGTAGATATATACAAGTAAATCCTGTTCCAGAATGTTCCTTCACTTTTCATTGTTCAAATACAGTTAGTCATAATTTGTAGTTCAACGAAGTGTTTTATTTGCCCTAGTTCAACAGGTTATGGGCCCAGACCCAGGTTTTAACCAGTAAAGTTGGCAAAAAACGCTGTGAACTCGTCGGATTGAACTAACGAAAGTAATATGGCTGTGAATTATATGTCTGCGGTGCCAAAGTTGCTTGGCAGAGAAAACTATGAAGATTGGGCATTTTCTGTGGAAAATGTGTTTATTCTGGAAGGTTTGTCCAAGTGCATTAGTGGTACTGAAACGGATACAGACAAGGTTTTGAAGGCAAAGGCAAAGTTGGTATTGACACTTGATCCTTCTTTATTTGTGCATGTGAAAGAGGCCCAAACGGCTAGCGAAATATGGACGACACTAAAGAAACTGTGGATGTTTTTGGTATGGATTTATTTATGTACACATATTTACAACGAATGACATTTAAGCAACGTGGTTGTGTTGGAACTCTGCGGCCACGAGGAGCGCGGTGTTCTTGTGATCTTGCTGCTTCTGTGGACGATGGCGGAGAGAGCGAGTTGTGCTTCCATCAGGCCTTTTCTAGTCTCGCTTCTCGTTTTCGCTTCTGCGTGGTACGCCAGCCAATTAGCGGTGTTCTTTGCAGGCGTACGGTTGGTTGCCTATAGCGCAGGCAACTTGCTCGCCACAAACTTTATGATGACACCGGCTTTACGAGAAGAATAGGACTCCTCCGGGCTCTGATCTCACTGCGGTTAGAAAACTGTGATTCGATGGAATCCTACGTGAACCAAGTAGTCGAAACTGCTCAAAGATTACGTAGAACAGGTTTTAAAATTGACGACGAATGGATTGGGTCCCTGCTTTTGGCGGGCTTGCCAGAAAAGTTTGCACCGATGATAATGGCCATCGAACATTCGGGCATAGAAGTAAAAACGGACATCATCAAAACGAAGTTGCTAGATATGCAGGTAGATGGCAGCAATGGTCAAAACGCTGGTAGTGCTTTGGTGGGTAAAGCAGATTTTCGTTTTAAGAAGTATCCGCATTATTCGAAGGATGGCGGCAGTAGTCCTGGTAGTAGCAACAAGAAGAAAAATGACATTGTAT